TTCGAACATTTCTCAACCGATGGAACAACCATTCACCTAACATTCTCTGATTCGGCCAGTCGGCAGGGTCAATGGAGTTCAAGGTCTTCATGACTGTACCGCTAAACTCCTGGAGATCTTTCAACGAAAAACCATTGAGTTCCACCTGGAAGATGCTTTGCGATGTGAGCAATGAACCACGAGTACGATCGATCGAGATCGAAATGTCGAGCAATCATGTACAAGATCATCCTACCCCGAGGGACTGTGGACTGACGAGTGCAACGCTCAACATACCCCTGAACTTTGAACAACAACTCAGGGCTTGACCGCACATTCTTGAGAAGCTCAGATGCAAGCCACCTATCAAACCTTGGGATCAGGCCTGATGAACTCTGGCATTCTTTCTCCTGACCTACCTCGAAAGCCGTTGCAGCCCACTTGGAAAGGTATTCATTCGACGAGATGTCCAAGCGGCCAAGCATCAGAAAGAAGTTTGTCTTCCAAGCTCTAAAGTCTGCAGCACTCTGAGGGACCACTTCCAGTTTGGTGTGCAACAAAGCTCTGGAATCAACAATCTCCCTTTCTGAAGCATGTGAGGGCGATTCTGAAATCAACTCCTCTTCATCGTCGTCCGACCCTTCACCCCCCTGATCGATTGGATCGGGCGGACCTCCGGGAAAGCCTTTGCCAACACGAAGTCCACGAGAAGGTCCTACAGGAGATGAAGATGAATGGACAACTGCATCATGCGAACGATCGAACAAAGGTCGAGGCTCACGATTTAGATCCGTGCTGTTTCGGCTTGATTCAAGTGTCAACATTCTGGATCTGAGTGACTGAACAGCTTCCATAATCGACTCCAACATTCTGTTGCCTCCTTCAGTGTCCTTGGGCGAAGATGCATCAGGCACAGGCTTCGGAACGAAAGCAGGCGCAGGCGACTGGATGACCGCGGCGCTTGAAGCAGCCAGTCGGGCCTCCAGCGACGAGATGCGATCTTGTCGAGACGAAGACTCTTGGCAAAGACGCTGGATTTCTGAATCTTTATAGCCTAAAAGGTTGAGGGACTTTTGGTTGAGGTCGGACAAACGGTCGATCTCGTCCTTCGCTTTGCGAAGTTGACCCTCAAACATGGACTGGTTGAATTTGATCTGGTTCTCAAGGGTTTGCTTTACCTCTTGGACCGCTTCATGCAAGCTGGTGATCATGACATCTTTCTCGGTGTGACCTGTTTGGAGCATTTCGTTCTGACTACGGAGTTCTTCGACCAGGGATGTCAGGTAACCGATGTGAGCTGTGGCTTCCTGGAAGACTTGTTGAGCGACACCTTCGAAGTGCGAAGCCCTAGAGTCCGCTTCCCCGATCAGTCGTTGAGACTCAGCTACAACACGACCGAACTCTGCATGATCGATACCAACATATGCCACCTGGATCGTGTTAAAAGACCGGGCGTCATGAAGGTGCAATTCTTGTGTCAAGCTAGTTTGATTAGGCATGACTTCATCTTCCTCTCCGGTACCCTGGAACTCGGATGGACCAACCGACCGCTGGAGCAACCCACTGGACAAAGGCAAAGACCGAAGGTCAGTGAGCGCAGGAATGGATAGTTCAACCACTGATGACCCCTCTGCTTGAACCTGGGACTGAGTACCTTTGGGCATGTTTTTGATGACTCTGCTCAAAGATCTCTTTGGAGGTTTTGATCTCCTTCCCTCTTGAATTTCCGGAACCATGGGAGGATTGGGAGCTGCTCCGAACTGCAACTGCCAAACCACCAACAGTAGTATCTGAACTGACATTCAACGATGAAGATTGCTCTTCTGACATGGTTCACTGGCCAACTATTCAAACTCTCCCAATCCCTTCTTTCTTTTTGGCGGGAACGAATGCACAATTGGCACAGGCTCTTTTCGGGAACTGGCCTAACGAACGAGGCTCCGCGGCGCTCAAAGCAGCCGGACCGGAGCAGCTTCGATGCAACTTCACTCTTCCTCGTCAACTGGATTCGAATGGTGATGCACGAAAGTCACCAAACGATCCACCAACCAAGGTGCTGAAAAGCTCCAAGACCTTTGCTCTTCGTCAAAAATCGCTCCCCCGAGGCTTGCGAATCTGAATAGCGATGAGGCTCGCTGCACTGAACTCACGCAGCACCTCAACGTTGTCGTCTAAAATCACAGCCTGACCACGAGTCAACGATCTCAGCACCTCAAACTTTCCACCTGGGCCCGTCCTTTCACGAGTGATGATCACACAATCAACCGACAATGAACTCTGTTGTACTGCAGTGATCAAGTTCCTCTCGTTCACCACACTGTCGTGAATGTGCGACAAAACAATGATCTTCACTCGGCAACGCAAGCCGACCTCTTCAATCTCCCTTCGCAAGCGACGAACTGCCGCAACGTGGCCCGCAGGCAGATTACCAATATGATCCACACGATCCGGAGGATTGACACTCCGATCAACGTCAAGGACCTGATGGTAGTCCAATGCAATCACCGGATCAGAGCCCCAGTGATTCGGCCTTTCTGCAGCCAGCCTCAACGTACCACCGTTCGCCCACACGTAAAACTTGGCTGAAGACGGAAAAGTCAAGGCCTCTCTGTAAACAATGTCAACTCGCGACCACGGGTGAAGAACGACTCCAGGCGCCGGGTGGTAGTACTTGAGGATGTCGTAAGGCCGATTTCCGGCAGGCGTGTCAACAACACTCGAATCCGCTCGACTCGGAACAGGCCTTGGGGCCGCAGCCGAACTTGACGAGCCGGGCGAATGATCGAAGACGTACGGATTGTAGAGCCTTGAACGCGGCACAAGATGCTCAGCCTGCAACGAAGTCAAATCAACTGCCGCTGTAAATGCAACAATCTCAACTTCGTCAGTCTCCTCACCCGAATCCTCGCTTGCACTCGGCTCCCAAAACCTAGAAGCTCCAAGTGGCCTTCTCTGACCGCCAGCGTGAACAATCGGGATCGTCGCTCGATCGCCTCCCGAATTGACAATGTACGCTTCCCTGCGTCGCCGTGCGGCAGCTCCTCCCCGAATGCCACGCCTCGGAGGGTCCGGAGGCGTTGGTGGCCTCCTTGGTGGCGGCCCTGACGGCTCAGGAGGCCGCCACGGTCGACGCGGTGGTGAACGGGAAGGCTCTCGAGGACGCCGACTTGACATGCACGGGGTTTCTGTGGACCCCGCAACCACACTAATAAACGATGTTGTTGTGTTGTAACAGAAACCGAAAAACAATCAAAAGCCGATACGGCTGATAACCACTTGAACCGTTGGAAAAACGGAACACCAACACAAACAACACCAAGCAACAAGTCAAAGTTAAAATCCGTCGTGACCGCGAAGTGGCAGCGGCTGCGGACCTTTTCATCACTTGAGCCAAAAGTACAATGTTCATGAACTGTGCCTATACATATGAGGTGCACTTTACACGGGAACCTTCAAGTTATATATGTACAAGTATGCACATGTTTGCCTTCATTTGCATCCCTGCCTTGTAGCTGAACATCATCTGAAAAAAATCTGTGCATTGACTTGGAGCTTTTGGAGAAGTTGACAGGCACCACATAGACTAAAGAGTGCTAAGGTCGAGCCCGCATTTTGTAGACTGACTTCTTTCTGAGGTGCCATTTTGATCAACTTCGTAGAGCCCAAAAAATAAAGTTCTACAAAATGACGGGAACGACCCCATTTTGTAGACTATTCAGACGCAAAAACAAGCCTCAGGTTGAAGGCCATTGCTATTAGCCTGGAGGCCTTTGCTATTCAGTGCTATTAGGTTGGAGGCCATTGCTATGAGGCTGGAGGCCATTGCTATTGGGTTGGGCCATGCTTTTCCACAGTCAAATAGAATCAAGTATATAGACAGATTGAAATAGCATGAAATAGCACTAAAATCTATCAAAATCAGCAAACAACTCTACAAATTGCTGTGGATGATTCGGCCTAAATTCTCTACAAAATGCAGTGGATGATTCGACCCGAATAACCCAAAAATCTCTACAAAATGACATCAGGCGTTTTAACAACCTCCTCTACAAAATGCTACTTCAACACTCGACTGAGATCACTACAAAATGCATTGCGCAAGAGAATTGTACAACATGCCTCTTCCACATCTCTACAAAATGACATCAGCATGCATTCTCTACAAGATGATGTTGATTGAATCACGAACCTCTACAACATGTTTATTTTCTCTCCCTCTACAACATGCGTATGCTCCAATCAATTTTCTTCTCCTCTCTACAAAATGCATGTGCTCAAATCAAAGACTCTGTCTACAAAATGAAAGTAGCATAAAGTATTTTTAAAATGACGGGCGCGGTGTATTTTTGACCACGTCGAAAAACTTAAAAAACGCAATTCTCTACAAACTGCTGGGCCTGGTCTCTACAAAATGACGGGGTGTGAGGGCAAAAGGGTGTTCTCTACAAAATGACATGCTGATTTAGGGTCTTAAGGCCATCATTCTGTAGAGCTTAATTCAAGGGGGATAACATTTTGACAAAAGGTCGACCTATCGTAGATGGACCAACTATTCAAACCCTTTGCCACATACACCATCATCCACTTCCCCCCATCCCCCAAAGCTAAATGTTGACTCATTGACAGGGTTTCTGGAGACTAGGGCCGAATGGACGAAACTAATCAACCCCCAAGCAAAGTACCCAAAACATATGCTGAACTTGTAACAGTGAGATTCGGGATGCGGGGTCCATGGAGACAACATGATGCTCTGGGGTTTGATTATTGTCCACCTAGGACTTCTGGCAAGTGGGCACGTGTGACCTGGCCAGGTTTCCGTGGGTTTCCGTGCAAGCCACACAAATCCAACATTTAAACCGGAAACCACCAAAAATTGTTGAGTAGCAAATCGCACGAATGGCTATGAAATCGGCAGCTGCCGAGACTGGAACCAATGTGGCGCAAAATAATTTCACTTTCACTCTTCAAACATTCTTGCCGGCATGAGGCATGCAGCCAAAACGACACTCTGGGGGCCGTACGCCAAAAGCCCTTTCTTGTCAAACCTGATCTTGAACCATTGGGTGGCTGGACCTCAAACAGGTGGTGATGGCGCACAAATGTACAAAACAATAGAAGCACAAGAGCGCAGCCAATAATGGAGACTCGCAGTGATGAAGGTGAGATATTCACAAGTTTGAGCAACTGAGTGTGCTCCTGAGTTATCCTAGCCAACCCTGATGAAAAGGGTTGACTGGAGCCCGTCACCAATCGAGCAAAGCATGATGACCAACACAGTGGCAACATCGAAACTGAGGACTTTGAAACTTGCAAGCTTGTATTGTAGGTCCTTGTGGATCTGGAAGCCGCCAAAGTGAAGAATGTGCGGCCTCACCAGCTAGCAACTTTTGGTGTGTATACATATATATATATTTTACACATATTTACAAATAGACACGTTTCACATTTTATACACATGCTTGTCAAGCTGGCAGGTCGTGCCTGGTCTCCACGACATCATTGCGCTGTAGCTTTTCAAAGGTTTCCTTTTCCAGGAGTGGGTGCCTCCGGGATCGATCAATGTTGCCTCCCCGTCTCCCTGTTTCTCTCCCCGCTGGCCTCCCTTTGCCAGCGTCTCCCTCCCACCCTCTAGTGTTCCACAGCGCTTTCGATGACATGTGCGCATCTATGCGAAGATACATTTGAGCAGCCATCTCTTCCGGCATTTAAAGAATCATGATCACAATTGATCACACATGAATAATAATAGTACCATTAAAGTATTGCAGTATACTACTACAGTATATGAATCATTTTACAAACACAAATTTATATATACAAACTTGTCATTTCTCATCATTTCTCCACACAGCCTACTACGTCCCAGTCTACACAATCCTGGACAACATGTTCGGATTCAAACTGGACATTTTCGCACCCTTTCACCCCAAGACCCCAAGCAGCCTGCCCAGCTTACGAAGAGTTGCCTCGCTAGGATCCTCTTGGTCAGGATACCTGGCAAAGCAAGAGCCGCACCGCCCACCACAAACCTGATGCGACTAGGTCAGGCGACCCTGCAGACTGCATCTTTCAGACCTCGAATGATCGCACAGCTGGTTTTGGAAGGCTACATGTTTGCATTCTGTCCATTCCCAAGCCGAAACCCGAGCCCAATGCAGTCTTTGCGGACTCACTTATGCCACCAGCCTGTCGCCATTGGAAGCCTCAACTCGCCCATCCCTCAGCCCCGGGAAGATTTTTTACCTAGCACCGTGCTGAGAGGAAAACCTCGACCTGCCGCACAGTGACGCAGGCCTCCCTCTTCTTTGCACTAGCTCTGATGCAAAAATGCCGCATGTTGCAAACTATGGGACATTTGAAAGCGTTTCTTTCATACTTGGGTGAAGCTGCAAGAAACAATGCCTCTGGACTCTCAGCCGCTCAACAACGATTTTTTAACATTTCCCCGCTAGCAATCAGCGAGAACAGTGACCCAGCAATTGTGTCTTGCATCACTACTGCTGGTTTAGGCAGTTCCCATTCTCGCCACCCATGAGGTTTCAAAGGTGGGCAGCAATGAACTTGGAATTGGCGCATTTGTACACAAAGCTGTCTGAAGATGTTGGAGATTTGTCGCCATTCTTCAGGTGGAACAAAAGGTGACACAAGTGGTCACAAACTTGGTGCGCCGACAGCAGCGTCAACGAGCTGGAGCTGAAGTCGGGCGAAGTTGGGCTAGGGATCCTTGTCCAAATGTGTTGCTCTCATGGTTCACACTGATGCCTAGCGCCTTGGGCGCCTCCCTTGATGGCCAGGCCCACTGACGTTCGACGCCCAGTGTGCCTTCATCAGTTTTATGTTCGGCTATCATGGGTACAGGCTTTTGAGGCCTCTTAGGCCTATCAAATTTAGGTACTGTCACAGGAGGTGAAACTAGTTTTCCAAACCTAGTCAAGCATCCGCAGTCCCGTGCCAAAGAACGATCTGGTAGATGATCTGTGATGCGCTTTGACGCAAAATCTGCCCTGGGAATAGAACTGAAACTATGACACCGAATGCCAGGCTTTACTGTATGAAGTTTGACGTCATAATCTCCAAGACTTGCATTCCCCCCCGGTGCAGCCAGCTCTCTTCGACCAAACTTTCCAAACTCAAAACAGGGTTGACGGTAGAAATGGCCAAACCGAGCACACTTCAGATGCCCGTCCAGCACACCTTTAGGGTCAAGAGCTTCCGGGTCATTTGGCGGCAGAGTGCTCATCGCGGGCCTTGGGGTCTGCTTGGCCATGTTCACAAAGGTCATCTGGCGCATGGAGCCTTGATTGTCCACACTGAGCAACTGATCTTCATGCTCTATGTTTTCATAGGGCGCGGGTGATGTTAAATGAGACAAATAGGCCTTGAAATCCGGCACTTTTGGTGTTGGATGTTTTACCCTGCCCAAACTTGCCAAACATTCGGCTTTTGGGCTATATGAGCCAACTGTTGGCCCTTGGGCCTTTTGGCAATGTTTCTGCAGATCACGGCCGCAACTTCGGAATGCACTTGATGGACGCTTTTCTTCATGGTTCTTGCGGTCATATCCGGCTTTGTGCGGAATGTCTTCTGAAACATGGCGCATTTCAAGTGTTTCTGACTTGGCCATGTTCACCTGCCTCAGCAAATCAGAAAACCCAAGAACTCTGTCTTGGTGCAAGTCTTCCGGGGAACAAATGTTTTCTTCATTGTCCTCGGCACTCCTCTGCACCTCCTGCCGTCCAGAATAATCATAGCAAGGATCGCAGCCAACTCCCAATTTCCGTCGCAGTGTGTTGAGCTGCACTTCTGTGGCCTTGCCGATTGCACCTTGGAAGGCTGAAAATCATGAAGAACACGAACCGAGACCGAGGATGCAGTGCCCAGTGGGTTTTGTGGAGGATTGGGCCTAGGGTATCCTAGGGTAGGGCGCGGCAGCACAGTTTTATTCTACTTTCAAGCCGGCAGCACGAAATTGCAAACGACTGAAGCCATTGTCAAAAACACGGTAAGGGCGCGCATCAACACAATTTCACAAGAAGTATTTACCCGGAAGCGAGTTAGGACTTTACGACAGCTCAAAAAAAACGGGACAGACAAATGAGATAGGTCACGAAATAGGGTACAAAAAATGCGCAGATGAGATCCTGGCGGCACAAAAAAATTGCAACCCCATCTCATGTGCGATACCGTGGCGTACGTTAGCCGTCAATGATAGCTTTCAGCCGATGAGATAGGACAATGTGCTGAATGTCAATCAAAAACCGAAATAAAATATAGTCCCTAGCCATGAATGAGCAACGCCCGGCATATGCTGGCATCAGCAAAGCTCTTTCAGCCCATGACCAATTCTATCATCTCCTGTGGTCTCCGCCAGGAGTAGGCTTTCGGCAAATGAGATAGTCCGACGGATTACGGGGTGTGTGGTCGAATGCTCCCAAATCACCTGGGACTAGTATAATACAAACCTGACAATTCACCGCCCACAAACACAAACACTTTTGCCCGCCAACAACCCTCAACCAAGTGTTGGTAAACGGCAAAAACAAAATTGTCAAATTGCAAGCGGGGTGCTCAAACGCACATCCAAGATCATGAGGCCAATGCGCCAAAAAATAGAAAACCTCTCTCTCACTAACTCATGCCGTCATGTTTGCAGGCTACAGTCACGGCAACATCATGAAACTGAAATGCTGCCCGCTCTGGAAAATTTTGGAGCAATTGGGATCTTCCCGTGCATCACGTATTGCAATGAAACCTGAATATTGGTGGTGCCTATGAGCCAGCTGCTTCTGCAAAACAATTTCCTTGCATTCTTGACGCTGGCAACGGCAAACGTAGTTGTTTCAGAATCCGGAGTTTTTGCAGCTTCCACAGAATGAACTAGAACATGCCCTTTTATTTATTCGCGTTTCAAACGGGGTGCCCAGTGTCAGATCATGTCTGCGTGATATTTTAAATCTAAAAATCTTCCTTGGGCAGCCCCGCCCACTTAAAATCTTAAATCCATTCTAGGATCGTAGGATGGTCGTACCCCACACACACAATGTGAGTGCATGTCCGGGACCCAAACGTCTGCTGTTCGAGGCTCTGGTGAGACATCAAAAAACGTTCAGAATTGTAATTAGTCTCCTTACTCACGCATGTTTATGAAACACCCATGAGGATTTTGGAATGATTAGCTGACCTAGGATAGTTCTGGTCACTTCCGTTGCGCGTGTGTATCATGTACTTCTTGTTGATGCAGGTGAGATGCAGCAACGCACGGTCTTACATTCGTACTTACAAGAACACCAAAGGCCGCAGTTATGGTTTTCTCTGTAGTATGTCGACGGATGTCGGCGGTTACCATTTTCAAGGGCTTATTTTCGAGATTTTGGGACAATGCCCAACTTTTACGCCAGTTCCTGTAAAACTCTTCATGAATGCTACGGAGCTTGGTGGTGGAGCCCCCCACGCATGCTGCCTTGGTGGTGGGGCCCCCAGCGCATGATGTCCCTGGTTCGCTGGCTCATGCGGCTAACCAGCCTTGCATTACCGAGCCGGAACATGAAAAAACAATTTGACCTGGTGTGTATGTTTATGTACACAGTAGATCTTCTGACCAGCAAGCATCCAGTGCCATCATTCACATGATACAGACCCTCCCATCACTCACATGATGATCATGTTCATTTTCGCGCCCCCGCATCTTTCATGATCTGTTGCACCGGCGGGGGGCCCAGCTGCTTTGCCCAACCCAACGCCGTTGTCCTGCCCCATCTGGTGGCTGGGGGTCGACGTCATTCCGGTGTATCACCGTTTCCAGTGCACGCGTTTCACAGTGGTTCTTTTTGGTCCTCCAGTGTGCATCGTTTGATTTTCCTAACCTACACGTTTGATCCGCTCCAACCTCCAAAATTTTTTGAGGCGCTGCTCAAACTGCATCTCACAGTAGTGGGTGCTCGATGCACTATGGATTTCAAATTCCCTGCAAAAGCGAAAAAGCGAAAGGGCGGCCGCCGCACATGTTTTCAAAGGGACAAAAGTAGGCTCAGGTGGCCAACTGGGTGCGTGTGCGAAGTTTTCGGGCCAAGGAGCGTTCGATGAACGAAAATGCCATCAACTGCAAGGGTTCAACATCGAACCAGCTCCGGGGGCCTTCAACGGCTCTTTGGTGCTCGTGTCTTGACGAAGCTGGCACCATGGAACCATGCACCATGCAGCAAGTGCCTGCTGCAGCTTCGAGGTTTGTAAGCCCGTCGGCATGCATTATGCCGGTTGGCAGCCAGTGAATGGCTTGCGGCGGCATCGTTTGCTGCACGCTTCGCACAGCCACCACGCTTCTCTTCTCCAACGACGCCGGGTTCTCAGCGATCAGAAGATCGTAGAGGGACTTTGCGTCCGTGGCTTGCTTCATCTCGAATTTCATGACCCCCTTGAACGCCGGAATCTGGTAGAAGAGCTCGGCGCAGAAGTAGGTACAAAAAGCGCGCCTCATCGGCGGCATGTGCTTCAGCAGCTAAAGTGCTGCAAGCTGATCGCTGCGTGCGACCGCTCTTCCAGTGGGTGATGAGGTAGGAGAAGCGGCCGTTCTTCTCTTCCAAGCTGATCTCTTTGCCGCGATATTTGCCAGGCGTGGTGGTTGTCACCTTCATGATTGATCCCCACTTGAAGAGATCTTTGAAGATGCTCTCATTGAACTGGGAGGAGTATACCACCAGAAACATGGACGATGAGTGCACAGTCCAATTGCTACTTGTCGTTCAAGTGGTAGTAGAAGCACTTGTCAAAGGAATGACGAGTGAAGGATGCAAACAGGAGGTCCTTGTTGTCGACCTTCAAATACCACGTTCGTGGTGCGTTGCACAGCTGGTCTTTGTTTTTGGTTCCAGTTCCAGTCTATCTCTGGTGTACCAGGTGCTGGATGAGCTCTGCTTGGCGCTCGTGATCTGTAGCGGCTCCTCGGTGTTGGTAGAACTGCGCCGAAGTTGGGGTTGCTCCCAAACTGTTGGTATGTGGGTGAATCGACGTTCACTGTGTAGCGTCGTTGGTCGACGTATGTGTTTGCTTGGTTCTGTTGTTGGTTCATTTGCTATTGCTGTACTGTTGTATGGGTGATTGTCTGTTCAGTGTGTTGAGGTACTGAATGAAGTTGTGCCGGTGAGATTGCCTGTGGTAATTGTTGCTAGGTCCAAGGGTTGTGCTTCTGCCGCTGCCAAAGGCGCTAGCGGTTGTAGTTCATGAAGTCTTGGCTCCTGGATGGGGCGGAAATCGGGGAGTTCCTCGTCTGCCCGAGCCATCTCTTCATCTCCAGGGCCTTCTCCACGGCTGTCATCCCAGAG